ATGGTCACTGGGACAAACCATAAAGTTAAACAACTTATTGTAGACCTCCACAACGGGGATCACATAGACGACATGACTAAAAAATGGCTTTGTCAAACACCAAATCCGCCTCGAATTCCAGAATTTTACACCCTCACTAAGATACACAAGCCGTCCCCGGTCGGCAGACCGATAGTATCAGGGTGTGATGGCCCAACAGAGAAATTATCATTATTTGTCGACAAACTCCTTCAGCCGATAGCACAACAACAAAAGTCTTATCTTAAAGATACTACCGACTTCGTCAATTTCATAGAAAATACGAAAGTCCCAGTGGACGTCATACTTGTTTCAATGGACGTTACGAGCTTGTATACAAATATACCGCAAGAGGAGGGAATAGACACGGTATGCAGAGCATACGAAATATTCTATAGAAACGAACCTCCTATCCCTACACAACTACTAAAACGAGCGCTCAGGCTAATTCTCCAAGAAAACTCTTTCCAGTTTAATGGAAAAAACTACCTTCAAACACATGGTACGGCCATGGGCACGAAAATGGCAGTCGCCTTTTCTAATATATTCATGAACAAGGTAGAGACGGAAATCCTTAGCCGAAGCCTTTTCAAACCGCTCGTTTGGAAACGTTACATAGACGACATCTACTCGCTCTGGACTACAAACAGAGCCAGAATAGAACATTTCATTGAACAAGCAAACAATCATCACCCTACGATCAAATTTACGGCTGAAATTTCCGTTAAGGAAACAACATTCCTGGACACCTACATCTACAAAGGGAAAAGATTCGAAAGAGACGCAATCCTTGATGTGCGTACTCATTTCAAACCAACTGAGACATTTCAGTATACCCATTTTGCTTCCTGTCACCCGCAAGGAGTTAAAAAAGGCTTCATTAAAGGGGAAGCCCTCCGACTCCTCAGAACAAACTCTTCCGAACTAATATTCGAAGAGAAAATTACAAATTTCAAAGCGCATCTGCTACAGAGGGGTTACCCAGAGGATCTTATTAACACAACCCTTTCAGAGGTGAACTTCAAAGACAGGAAACTAGCCCTTCAACAGAAACCAAAGACAAACCAACGAATCTTGCCTTTTGTCACACAATACCAACCATCAGTGCCAAACCTAAAGCAAATTCTCATGAGAAACTGGCATTTAATAGAACAACAACCATTACTAAGCGAAATCTACAAAAAACCGCCCCTCGTATCTTATAAAAGAGGGCGGTCGCTCAAAGACATACTCGTGAGAGCCAAACTATAGAAAGGCTATTTTAAACACGCGCTGGGGAGTCGTGTAGGCCTGTCAACCCCATTTTACACGTTCTGTAAGTATCTTACAAAAGGCTTGTGTAAGCTCTCTTACGCGTTCAGTAAGAACTCTTACACAAGCCTTCTGTAATTATCTAAGGAAAGCCTTCTGTAAGTCATACACAAAAGACAACAAAAACTTTTTACATACTTTTTAAGTGTTAAAGAAGGCGTTAGTAAGAAGGACTTTTAGTAATGAGCTATTTTAAT